CATCAACAAAAGAATTCTTCTTGGGGCAACGAAAGAGACGCCACGCTAAAATTTTCTCTCCGTAAAATTTGAATTATATAAAGTACATGAATTAAGAATTAAACTGAATAGTAGTGAATACTGATTAGCAATAATAAAGTCAATGAAAAAACCTACCTGTCCAGCCAAGTCGAGTAAGAAATCCACGAGTTTCAGCTTCACAGAAATATCACACCACACACACACCAGCCTTGGAGGAAAGTAGGGTATTTACTTAAACCATTTATAAACAATATATGCATATATTAATGAAAAGACCTCCGAACTGAATAAGAATAAAAACTACTTGAAATCAAAAACAGAAATTGGACTCTGCCGAATTACAGTGACCTGCAATTCATAAACTGACAATTACTACATTTGTTCGGAGTTTCCATATTGAATAGTTCGTTGTTCGGTGTAGATTTAGGACTTTCTTAGAATTAAGGAATTTTCTCTTTTGGCAATTAACAAATTTATATATTTCCGAATCAAACATATTTTTACTTTTACAATTAAAAACTGTTCTATATTTCCTAAGCACAATTGTGTCTTTTTCCAAATTTTTCCACAGGTGAAATCTACTAAATTCATGTATTGTGTATTTATTCATGTTTTTACGATATTCGTATATTTATCTATGTATTGTGTATTTATTCATGTTATTACTTTGTACTAGGCGATATCACCCACAAGAAACATTTTTCACAAAATGTTTCTTTTGTGATGCCTTTGTTTGTTCACCCTGCTACTTTATACTAGTTATGTTGTGATCATTATGGTAAATAAACTTATTATTATTATTATATTATCTTCAAGCCGCTCCGATAAAAACTATCATAATTTCAGCCACACCGGCACAATCAAGAAAACCTTAAAACAAGCTCATCATTCAGCACTGAATCATTTAACTTTATAAATTCCATGTCCCGTACTTTAAATTTAGTCATCTCAACGTTGGATTCACTGGGTTTAATGAATTGAAGGATTTTATTACAAGTAATGATACAGAAATTATTGGTATCTCGGAAACTTGACTCAGTTCTTATATTTCCTCACAAGTGGTGAATATTGTCAATTATATTGTTGCTAGAGCTGACAGGGACGGAACTGGAGGAGGACTGTGCTTCCACATTAAAAATTCAATACAATTTCAAGTAATTTTTTCTGAGATTAACCAATATCTTGAACATATCTGGATATCGGAGAGTAAATTTGGCAAAAAATAGATATTCGGAGTTGTCGAGATATGTTTCAGATAACACAACACAACAAAAAAATATTTTTTGAATGTTTCCTACACTAAATTAGTCAAATTCTACTAATTTTGGGGTGATAAAAACGAAAATAACAATGAAAAATTTTTATTAGCTCTGGTTTTTGAGATACACAGTACTTAATCTTAAAGAGTAGTTATACTATACGTGAAAAGTGAAAGTACATAAAACAATATTGTTATGTTTCTTTTAGAATATTTCAAGTACAAAATTAATAAAAAAAAAAACATTATTCTTAGTGTTTTGACAAATAAAAGAAGTTTGTACCACCAAATTTCAATTAAGTCCATCCGATTCATTGTAAGATCGCTGTCGTTTAGCTTGTCTTTTATAAAACACTTCTGGAGCATCCCTACACACAGACCAGCAGTAGTCTGCAAGCATTGCTTCATTCCAACGGCCCTGATATCTCTGTTCCATTAAGGCAATGTCTTGATGAAATCTTTCTCCATGTTCGTCACTCACAGCTCCACAGTTTTGTGGGAAGAAATTAAGATGAGAGTGGAGAAAATGAATTTTTAAGGACATGTTGCATCCAAGTTGGTGGTAAGCTTGAAGAAGTTCTTTAACCAATGCTGTGAAGTTATCATCTCTTTTGTTACCTAAAAACCCATGTACAACCCCCTTAAAGGCTTCCCAGACTCTTTTTTCATTTCCTGTTAAAATCATGTCAAAAGCAGGATCATTTACGATTTCACGGATTTGAGGCCCAATAAAGATGCCTTCCTTGACTTTAGCATCACTCAACCTGGGAAACTTTGCTCTCAAGTACTTAAAAGCTTGTCCTTCCTGGTCCATGGCCTTCACAAAGTTTTTCATTAGTCCCAACTTAATATGTAATGGGGGAAGGAGAACATCCTTAGGATCTACAAGAGGCTCGTAAACTACATTTTTCTCATTAGGGTTTAGGTCTCGTGTAGGCCAGTTCATTTTTTTATAGTGAGATTTTCTATCCCGACTGTCCCACAGACACAAAAAACAACAACTTGGTGAACCCTAATTGCATTCCTAAGAGTATAGCAATGACTTTCAGATCACCACAGATGTGTCATTTGTGTTGTTCATATTTGATTGATTGGAGAAGTGTTTTCATATTTATATACGTTTCCTTCATGTGAACTGCATGACCTATAGGAATAGAGGGTAGCTGATTTCCATTATGCAGAAGTACAGCTTTTAAGCTTAGTTTTGAAGAGTCTATAAACAGTCTCCATTCAAATGGAGTGTGATCCAAATTCAAGCAGTCCATCAAACCATTAACATCAGAACAAACTACGAGGTTTTCTTTTTTGTCAAAAAAAGGAAGCAAATCTTTTTGACGCTGTCTGTACTGAGATATTTTCACATAATGTTTTAGAAGATTCCACTGTTGTAGTCTTGACCCTAACAGCTCAGCCTTTTCCTTAGACAAGCGAAGATCTCTTATAAGGTCACTCAACTCTGCTTGACTAATTCTGTGCGGATCACTAGACCTATCGCTTACCTCAAAATCAGGGTCATAGGATGTAGAAGGATGGGTTGCTCCTTCTAAACAGTCTTCATCACCTTCCTCTAAAATTTCATAGTTTTGGGGTGGAGAAGGGACTGGCAAATTGTCTGAGTGTAGTACAGGCCGAAGAGCAGATGGGAGATTAGGGTATTTAACCGTTCCTCTTTTCTTCATAGATAAAACTTGCTTAATGGGAGGAGTTAAGCAGAAATAACAGTCGTCTGTATGATTGGTAGGCTCACGCCAAACCATAGGTACTGCAAAAGCCATTGCCCGGTTTTTATTTTTCAGCCACTCTCGCAATATGACGGAACAAGAATTACAACATATATGAGGAGCCCATGATTTATCTTGGTCCCCAACTTTCACACCAAAATAATGTTCATAGGCTGTCTTAACGATATGTGTCATTTTACGTTTCTGAGCCTTAAATGTTATTTCACCACATATATAGCAAAAGCTATCGACAGAATTCACACACTTTCGAGGCATTTCAGATCAGCACTTAAATTAATTTAAAAATCAACTTCACACGATAATTTCAATAGCAACCACGTGCGTACAATTGACAAACTCACATAGGTTATGTTTACTACTTAAGAACAGCTGATGAGAGGGGTGTTATGTAAACAAACATGTGTACCAACTGTTGGTGATGAAATATTTCATTTGTTGAAAACTCAATATACGTATATATAATATAATGATACTATATCTTGAAAACAAGAGCTAATATATAATTTTTATGGTCACTTTCGGTTTTAACACGTGGAAATACATTAAAATCATCTAATTTCAACCCCGAAACAAAAACTTTGTTGTGTTGTGTAATCATAAAAGGTTTTTTTATTCGAAGTTCATTGTAGAAAACGCTCAGAGCAATAGAAATATGAAAAAATATGAATAGGTACCTCTCTCTCTGAAAACTCTACGGTACATAGGGAGACGTGAAAGTTGCTATTAGCCAATTTCCAGGGCCGTAATTTGAAAGGGAGTAATTCACTCAATTATAATCAAATATTACCGAAACATCCCGATATATAAAATAAAACTACAACACGATACAGGTCTGTATTTAAAAATTCAAAGATGAGGTGGCCCAAGTCAGATGACACCCTGTATAAAAGATTCATGGATATATTCCGAGAGCCCACATCAAGTGCCAATAACAAAATGTGGACAGATTTTCAATATGTCTGCGAATAAAGAAAATATAGGCAAATAAATAGTTTGGAATTTTTTGGTTTTTCCTGTATATCTCCAGAACTAAGAGAACTATATTCGATTTTTTCACATCATTGAATAGGTCTCTAAAATACGCAACTTTGCCACAATTTAACCGACACTCTATCTCTTATCCTTTACGAGATCCCTATGTACAGAAACGAATTTGAATAGCCCTGTATAAACAAATCAGAATTGAATTTGATTGTTCAAAATCGTTCATCCTTATTTCTCGAGAACGTATCCATAAAAATGCAAAACGAAATCAACGTCATATACAGAATGAAAATAACTTTCAATCAAAGTATCGACCCGTTTTGCTATTCACAAATCATAAGGTGGCTGTGGAATAGGGAATAAAGTCAAGAAGACTCGAAATTTCGAGATTAAAGTCGTAATTTCGATATCAAAGCAAAAATTTCGAGGTTAAAGTCAACATTTTTAGTTTGAGGTCGAGATTTCGAGTTGGAAGTCGAAATTCAGCGTTCAAAGTCGCAATTTAGACTTTCAAAGTCGAATGTTCCAAGAAGCAGATGATAAAAATATGTGGCTCTTCTACGCTTCTGTATTACACTGAGTATCTGATAGAAAAAACCACGGAAATGAATTAAATGGGCGATTTCTTCAATTCCATTTCAAAAATATAAGTTACATACAATGTAAAATGTTAAACTTAACAATTTCTCCTTTATTTATTTACCAAATGAGCTGTCAGCGGCTAAACTGTTTAAATTGTTACAGCACCATACGAATATGAAACATAATTGATGAAAGAATTAGCAAAAGGCTTCTGTGAGATAATTCCACAGAAGTGAAACCAACATCTCCTTTGTCTGCCTACCGGAAATGATACATCAAAACAAAAACTCAAATCATTTGTATAATCACCCGAGGCAATAATTCAACTTGTATCACATCGTTGCGTGTCATCTCAACATACAAAATTACAAAACTCTCGCCTCATTGATTGGTCTCCCGTTGCCACGCGATTACCATTCAACAAATGCTGTTTAGTGTTTATTCTCGAAATTACACCACGCATCGATAACACTCGTGATATCTCACTTCGAGGAATGAACGCTGCTTCTTCAACAGCATTGTATCGGCACGGACCCATTAGCGGTAAATAATATTTCATTAGTTTCGTGGCTAAGTTTTTTTACGTACCTGTTCGCGGGATATTTTTCTCAGTGTTATAACTGTGATAAACCGGCTGAAGAAGAATGATTACTAAAGTTGCCGCTCCGATGTTGGGTGGCACCCTTATGGTGATGGCGTGGTCAGGGGTGTACTTCACCAAGCACCAAACAAGATCTTCCAGGTCCTCCGTGGATGATCTTTTGGATCGCAACTCAACAGAGTCATCTCTGTATTATAGTGTGTATGATGAAAACAACTTTAGCGAAAACAGTGTGGAATATCCAAGAAAACTTTTGGCTTATAAAGCACCTGCGATCTATAGTGTTTATGGAAATGGTAGTGTCAGTATAAATATTACTGGTGACGGTAACGATTGGAGGAGAGAAGAGATTAAAAAGGTATTCACAATATTTTAAGGCCGGCTGAGTGGTCTGTCAATTAGGATGCTACGTTTTCATCTAAATTACTATCGTAGTTCGTGTCTATCTTGTCATGGGTTTAAGAGTTAATATAATTTTTACATGACACATTTATGAGGGGTTTAAAATGGAGTTGTGTGTGGAAATGAAAACTTTTGATTAGTGAATGCACAAAATTATTCAAAGAAATGTAGAATCATTCACATATTACGATACAAAAAGGAGGTTGAGCCCATCCAAAATAAATACTAATTTAAGAAGAATTGGATTCCTTGAACATTTCTGTTCCTTAATTTATATAGTTTAAGTAAATGATTTGGTGCAACCTACCTTCCAACAGCTCCCCTTCATTAATATAGTTAGGGAGCTGATTATTTTCGTTAGTCAATAATCATTTCTAATTATAAGAATCGCAATAACTATTATAATATATAATATATTATATACAGCGTGACTCACGGTCGATGGTAGGTTAGACGTTTCTGGAAAACGCAAAGCATGATTTTTATGAAAATTTCACCTCTCACATTTCCTTACCTGTTCTATCGATATAAAATATTTTCAGCATTGCGGCGTTGCCACTTCCATCAAAAAGTCCTAGCAACTTTATTTTTTTAAATGAAACACCCCGTATATTAATACATTTTTGGAATCGCACTGGTATTTTAATACTTTTTTGTTAATAATGCTCTATACCTATCTCTATCTGTTTTCGAGATAAAAAATAAATTGTGCTAAATATGGTCCAAAACATAGCCTTAATTGAAATTAAGTACCTACATCAGTACTCTCAATTCATGAAAAGTTGATATTTTGATGATAGTTTGGACAAACTCGAAATATTCAAATAACACCAAGAAATCGACTCCATATCATACAGGGCGCGCTAAAATTACTATTATTTCCATTGTGCATAAAAGTAGTCAAAAGTTCATTTTTTCAAATAAAACCCCCTGTATATTACTCAGTAAATTGAAAGTTGGTGAAAAATGCTTCAAGATGATATATCATGTCCCTATACCTAAATTGTCAAGTTTTCTCAATAAAGTCGCTTCTTCTAGAAACATTATTATTTTTTAGAATTTGGATTTAGGTAGCAGTAGAATTATCAAGCTCATAGCAGTTCGGTTACTCTTATAAGTAATTCACAAAGAGTTATCGACGGTGTTTCGAATTATCTCCCAAAATGAATGCAAATATCGATTATTCAAACGAAGTTCTTATGAAATTGTTTATTATACACATGAACAAAGTGATCAAATCATTATCAGAACGTGTAAAAAATTCAACCAAATGTGTCCTGAATTAACACCAATGAACTAGAGGAAGTTTGTGGGGTTACAAAATAATTTTCTTAACTATGGCTCAAAGTTTCCAGGGAACAACTGTACCAAAAATCAGTCATTTTTGGTAAAAAGTAAGATTTTGTGGGCTAAAACATGTGAAAGTACAGACAATAACACAATAGGATGATTCAAAATAACAAAATTGTAAACAAAATATCACATTTTCACAATAAATGCTGAAAATATTGTCAATTACATTCTGAACACTTTAAAATGTTTTTTGTACGCGACTTGTGGTTGCTTTTTTAATTTCCTGGGGACCCAGATCTTCTATACTCCGCACTATTTTCCGTCGCAATTCTTCTTGGTAGGCACTGGAGTACTGTATACCCTTTCTTTTAAAACACCCCATAAAAAAAGTCAAGTAGCGTGAGATCGGGAGATCTCAGTGGCCAATCCCACGGCCCTAAACGCCTAAACCAACGATCGTCGAAGAGTTCGTCAAGTTTCCTGGAAACTTCCTGGGTGGAATAAGCTGGCACCCCGTCCAGTTGAAACCACGAAGTCCTATATTCCTCTAAAGGCAAATTTTTAAGAAAATCGGTTACAGTCGTCCTTGATTTTTGGAGATATCTCTCTGCATTCAGTGTGTCTTCATAAATAAAAAAGCTAATTTTATTGTTCTTCAGAATACAGAAAACATTCAGATCGAATTTTTCTTGAAAATCCATTTCTTTTGTAACATGAGGATTGTGATCAGCCCAAAAATGTTTATTCCTTCTATTGAAAATACCATCCCTCGTAAATTTTGATTCGTCGCTCCAAATTATTTTTGACAAAAATTCCCGATCTTTCTATGTATGAATCAAAAGGGATTCACAAAAATGCATTCTACGTTCGAAGTCTTCTGCTTTCAGAGCTTGAACTTTGGTAAATTTATACGGATGCACTCCGTGATTTTTCAAAATTCGTTGTACTGAAGCATGTGATACACCTAAATCTTTTTCTGCACTGCGAATGGAAGCTTCTGGATATGTATAAAAATATGCCAAAACGTTAACAGTCTTGTTCTCATTTGAAGTAACAGGTTTTGGTAATGTTGAAGGCGCTTTTAACATGGAGCCATAGTTAAGGAAATTATTTTGTAATCTTACAAACTTCCTCTCGTTCATTGGTGTTAATTCAGGATACATTTGGTTGAATTTTCTACAAGTTCTGGCAATCATTTGATCACACTGTCCGCAAATAATAAATAATTTTATAAGAACTCCGTTTGAATAATCAATATTTGCATTCATTTTTGGCGATTTTTTGAAACACCATCAATTACTTATAAAAGTCACCAAATTGTCATAAGCTTGAAAATCCACGGCTACCTAAAAATCGGATTCTTTAAAAATTATTTTTTGTACAACTGTTATTGAAAATCTCTTTGATAGAAACACTTCAATCAGAACACCTACCAAAAAATCATTTAGAAAAGTTCACACATGCAGTGCTATTGATAATATTAAATCCCGGTGAAGTTACTGACGATGACGAAGTAGTATTCAGTCCAACTGTAGAAAGTCCTTCATGACTAACCAATAATCCTTCTTAAAATAAAGTGAGTTTGCGTATGTAGTTGTAACATATATGCCTTGTAATCCAAAGATCGTGTGTTCAAATCTCATGGACCCTATAATTTTTTTTATTATCAGCAGTAACGTTATACAAAAAAATGTGTATGATACATTTGTTAAAAGTGATTTTATTTTGCTCGTGAGTTTGCTCCACTTGCTGACGCTCGTTTTGCAATAATCCCCACTCACAAAATAAAATGCCACTTTCAACACTTGTAGGTAAAACGTGAATAACTATTTTTCCACAAAAACGGCTTTATTAAGAAAACTTGATGATTTAGGTATAGGAACTGATGCACTTAATTTCAATTAAGGCTATGTTTTGGACCATATAAGCACAATTTATTTTTTATCTCGAAAACAGATAGAGATAGGTATAGGACATTATTAACAAAAAAGTATTAAAATACCAGAGCGATTCCAAAAATGAATTTATATACGGAGTGTTCCATTTAAAAAGTATAATTGCTAGGACTTTTTGATAGAAGTGGCAACGCTGCAATGCTGAAAATATTTAAGACGATAGAACAGGTAAGGAAATGTGAGAGTTGAAATTTTTAAAAAAATCATGTTTTGCGTTTTCCAGAAACGTCTAACCTACCATCGACCGTGAGTCACGCTGTAAATGTATTTTAATTTTTATTAACTTGAAAACAACGCAACCGTTGAAAAAGTACGGTGTGCGATGCGTGAGAAAATGACATATTTCTCACTCACTTGATTTGCGGCAAACTTCTGCGCTCGTGAGAAATATATCGTTTTTCTCACTTGTTGTACAATATATTTATATTCTTGAGCAACGTTTGTATTTTTTTAAAAAACATCACAAACGACTGAAATAATTTGACAACCGATACATTTTGGATTTCAGTTCTTCCAGACTTTTTTATGAAGAACAATTTGTTTTTCTGAAATCAATAATTAAAAAGTTTTCCATATGGTTATAACTTACATACATACTTTACTTTGATCGGTCCAATCAACTCATCAATTCGTAGGTGAAAAATATCTCATATAACTTATTTCATTTTCCAGATGATGAAGCATGCTTGGGACAACTATGTACGTTACGCTTGGGGTAAAAACGAGCTGAAACCAATCAGCAAAAGAGGGCATGTTGGAAGCATTTTTGGTTCTTTACCATTAGGAGCAACCATCATCGATGGACTTGACACTTTGTATATCATGGGCATGAAGGAAGAGTTCAAACAGGCTAGGGATTGGGTTGCAACCGAGTTGAACTTTGACCAAATGGTAAGAAGAATTGACCAATATAATAAGTAGTTTCGTACATAATACTGAGATGTCAAAACAGATCTGTTTGTTAATTTGATTGCATGATGCCAGAATACGTATTTCTTTTTCGAACTATTCGACAAAAATATCTGCTGAACCTGAGATGGTCCTTTTCAGCAAGAAAAGAAGTTTATCGGGCTTAAAACCTCCCGAAATCTTCAAAAGCCGTGTACCTTGGTACTATCCTCAACAGGAAGTTGAAAATGGAACTGTCACCTACAGAGTAAAGCAAAAAGAGCATATGTGGCTTATGAGCAATGTAGAAGGACAGTGGAACGCGCATAGGGTCTTTCATTGGAGCATCCCTTGTTAGGATACAGCCCCTTGAAGGGGGTACATAAAATTTGTACGTTTTGTACTACCAAAAAGACACTTAGCCAGTAATTTATTTGGTTTACCCCATGGTTGTAAGGGGTGGAAAACGTAACCCCTAAAATTTATTTCCAGTGTAACTTTTTGTCTTATTATTTGTTTACCATTTAAAAATTCATTTCCGATNAGTGTACTCCAGATCACTAAGCCTAAGGATTAAGTGGGGAATGGGAAGAAATACCAGCGTGGTCCAAACAGAACTGACCGGTATCTCAATCGCCACAAAAGAAATAACCAGGAAAGGAATTTCTGACAAAAGCATAACAATCTGCACTGATAGCAGAGAAGCCCTATTAGCCTTGAACAGACAACGTATAACCCCAGGGCTAGTACTGGAGTGTCACCAAGATTTAGCCAAAGCCTCGGTAGATAATGATATTATCCTGAAGTGGGTTAAAGGGCACGACAGGAGTCAAGGTAATCGCATTGCCAACTCTTTAACCAAGGAAGCGGCTGGACTAAGAATTTTAGGACCCAGTGGCACCCACGGCCTGATGACTTTGACAATTGCGGAACTAGTCAAATGTTACACCCATGCTCAATCTTTAAAGAGATGGGATGAAATCAAAGGATGTAATCTTGCCAGGATCACCTTGGGCGACCCTGGAAAACACCTCCATAATATGGGGCTAGCGGACACACCTCTATGCAGGATGTGTGAACAGAAAGATGAGACTGTCAGGCATGTCTTGTGCGAGTGCCCGGAGTTATCGTCAATAAGTGAGTGTGTGTTAGGCGAGTCTTGGCCTACACCTGCCGATATAAAGGTGACCAGTCCACCTTCCTGAAAAGGACAGGATGGACATGTGGCCTAAGTGCTGTGAGCTTTTACTTACCCTCCCTACTCTACAGATACAGAGATCTGCTGAACTGCTGTAATATTGAATTTGTAGGATTAGAGTTTCCTCCGAATATCTCATTCTTGAATGACAAATATCACAAAGTGACATAATAATTTCTCTCACCGACTGCATTGGTCTCTAGGGAGAGAAATTAATATAGGGAGTACAAAAAAAAATTGCAACCTTGAGTGTCAGTTTTTTGTACTGTTTTGCGAGATTTTTTAATACGAGGGGGTTGCCTTTTATATTTCGGGATTAGAGAACAAAAACAAATATTAATCATCGAAAATCACTTTTTTTTTTCAAAATATTCCCCATGAAAATCTACACACTTTTGCATGCGTTTGAATCTATTGTCGAAGCACTTTTGCCACTCTGATTGAGGTATCTCCAAAACATGCATTGCGTTCTGAATGCAGCAACAACCGCTTTTTCAGGTGTCAAAAAACGTTAACCTCTCAGTTCGTTTTCTACGTGCGGGAATAAAAAGAAGTCATTCGGTGCCAAGTCAGGACTATACGGCGGATGACTTATCAAATCGATGTTTTGGGTGCTCACAAATGCAGTTGTTTGAGCCGATGTGTGAGAGCTCGCATTGTCGTGGTGAAAAGTGATCCATCTTTGGCGGTTGGTTTTCCTGATTTCTGATAAGACAACTATCAAACAAATGGTTGTGACTACTCAGTATTGACTGTTCTGCGTTGTTCTAGTGGTACGGTTGCGACATGTCCAGTTTTTCCGAAAAAACAGGCGACCGTTTGCTTGGAAGTGCTTCGTGTGTGAACAACTTTTGTTGGATTTGGCTCTTCTTGAAACACCCTGCTGTTTACTTTTGGGCTCATACGCGTAAATCCACAATTCATCACCTGTCTAGATGTCAGTGACGTGTTTCGAAGCACGGTGATCGTATTTTTTGAGCATTTCCTTCCTTTTTGAGCTATTGACAAATTGCATGGGATGCAACGCGAACAAATTTTTTTGACAGTCAAATGTTTATGCAATATTGAATGTATGCTGGTCCCACTAATGTCTAAGGTGGTCTCAATATAACGATAGGCCACATGACGATCTTGCAATATCAGTTCGCGCACAGCATCAATGGTTTTCGGAACAACAACTGATTTTGGATGACCTTTACGAAATTCGTCGTGAACTGAACTACGACCACGATTGAATTCACCATACCATCGATAAACACTGGTCATTGATGAAGCTTCATCGCCAAAAATTGAATTAAGTTCATCCCTGCCCTGTTGCTGAGTTAATCCACGTCGAAAGTTGTAAAAAATAATCGCACGAAAATGTTCACGATTGAATTCCATTTTTGGGCCGGGAATCTTTTAAATTACTGTAAACAACACAAATAGCGCGCGTATGTCAAAACGTTCTGAGTAGGTATAAGCTCAAAAATGAACAACTTTACGATAGAGCTGTCAGTTGCCAGATTGCAACACTAGGGTTGCCAAATCCCGAAACATAAAAGGCAACCATTTATAACTCAGTTCAATCCACTAATATATAGAAATAATATTATTAATTCATTCGTGAAAGCTGTGGATAGTGTGGATGAAAGGCAAAATGATGGAAATGTCCTTCCACAAACTAATATTTATGATATCTCTGCATGTCTTTCAGAATTCATGTGAACCTATAATGAATATATAATAATAACCTACCCGTTGAATATAATAATGATGACATAGCTTGTCATAATTATTTTTATTCAATTTAATCATTTGAACAGGTCTAGTGCATTTAATCACTGTACCTACAGTTCTGGAAAAGCTACCTAGCCTTTTCCATCGTTTCATTGAGGGAAATAATCAGTGTAATGTCAGTTATATTTTCGAAAACCTATATAATTTATTTGGCAAGCTCATTTCTACAAAAAATGTGTGGAACTCCAGAAGAAAGAGAGAAAGCAGTTTTGTTCAAAATAAACTCTTTGCAAACATATGTAAATCATGCAAAGAAGTAACTTTCAGACACAAACTGGAAGAAAAAGTCCTCTGTGAAAAGTATAAGTAGAAACATTATAAAAATTTGGTTGTATAAGAATGACCTGGAATACATTTCCGCTAGAATATTTTTATGTTCGGAACACTTTGTAAAGAATTAATCTTGGAATAAATTGCTTTATTCCTTTCTTCGGAAGATTATTTCATATAAACATTGAATTACTAGAAAGTTAGTAAGAATTTAAACTTTCTATATGTTTTTCACCACTGCAGTACTTAACTAACTTTACTGCAGTTTCGTCCTATAAGGACATTCTCAAACGAATACAACAAACAGTTAATCCATTCATAAATAAATAACAAATCAGATAAGTAGAATTCATGTGAATGTTATCTGATTTGTATTCCACAACGAATGATTGAAATACAAACTGAGTAGAGAAAAGTATCTTCTATATAGTTCAGTGTTCATATAGAAGTATTTGTTTCGAAAGAATTTTTTTTCTTTCTTGTAATTCAATGTTTATATGAAAGTAGCTGTTTCAGGAGGACTTTCTTTCAGTTTGTGTCTGAAAAAAAAAATTGAACTATTAACACGAGCTGAAAAAATTAAAAAAATATGAACAAGAAATGAAAATTAAAAATATAAAATTGAAAGATTCTAAATTAAGTTATGGCACGACGTTTCGATTGTTAGTATCCACAATCGTCTTCGGGTGATAACTGGACTTATTCTTCCGAGATCTGACTATTTATAGGTCATTCGAGTGCTTTCACATATCCCCTCTTCCCTCTCTCCGCTTCACTGGTCAATTATGACAGTTTCTCCGGAGTAGAGAATCGTTTGAGAAAATAGATAATGCCTTTTTGTGATTGATATGAAAGTGACAAATTTAGTACGGTGATATGTTTACAAAATTCTAATATTTTTTAAGGATTCTGTTTTTTTTTTCAAAAGAGAGCACTTTATACTCATTCGAGGGAAAATATATAAAGATATAGTCTGTGAATAAAATTATATTATATACACTGTGTTCAAGATAAAGGGGGTTAGCATGTGAAAAATTAAAGAAAAGTTACCTATTTAAGAGCTTATTTGAATGAGATTTTCAAATTTACTCGTTGAACGATTCTGTATCTGTAGAGTAGGAAGGGTGAGTGTAGGCCCCCTGCACTTAGGCCACTTGTGACCCATTGTACGTCCTCCCGTGGAGTTATCCTCCTAGGTCCTAGGTCATCGTCGCTCCTGTCCTCTCCAGGAAGGTCGACAGGTCACTAGGAGACATCTCCTTTATATCGGCAGGTGTAGGCCAAGTCGCCGAACACACACTTTCTTTGGCAACCTTGAGGTGTCTCAGGGTGGACTCCGCGGAGGTTTTGGAGGGTGCAGCGACATTACTGTCGTTGCGTGGCTTCTTCAACCTTCTTGGGGTTCCCTCCGTGGAGGTGCACAAGTGAGGGAGCTTTCCTGCAGGGACAGCCGGTTCCTTGCCTTTATTCAAGGCGGAACTCTTGGTGCCCTCCGCAGGAAGTACCCTTGCTGTTGTTGGTGGAGTGGGGGAGGAGGAGGGTGCACCTAAAGTTGTTGCCACTCTTGCCTCTTTCGCTATCTTTCTCCTTTTGGCCTCGGCACCGCAAATGCGCTTACGCCTTGGCCTTTGTATTACATCACGAGGTGATCTGCTATGTCCAGCCTTATTCCAAGCAGTAGATTGGGGTGGACATTCCTAGCCACCGCCTCAGATTGAGGTGAGCACTTCTGTCCAGCCTTGGAATTGGTTTTTGT